GTACTCTTAATTTCCAAATAACCAGCAAAAAGCCACAAGTGGCACTGTGGCTTAAGTGGTTGAGTTGTTGAACAAGAAAGCTCAGGCCCTAAATTCAAGCCCCAGTATTAGCAACAACAACAACAAAAAAAAAACATAATCTTGAACTGTATAACCACATGTTGTTTTAAAAGAAAGTTATAAGTCTCTACATATAAAGTTGCCTTTGCTAATGGCATTACTAAAGCACTCACACTAAGGTTAATTCTGGGAACACCTTGGAAGAACAAAGTAAAGTTCCACTAAAAAAAAATGACTACGATTTTCATTTATTTAACACTTAATAATAGTATTTACTATATTTCAGAGCCATTTTAAACACTTCATAAGGTGGATCTATTTTATGAATAATAGATACAGAAGTTTTATGTGTTTAACCTAAAGGGAAACCACAGCTTTTGTCAAACATCTAAAGGGTTATCTTGGGAATGTAGTAGCCCATTTATCTCTGCCATTAAAGAGGAGCAAAAAAGTTCTACAGAAAATGGGAGCTTTACAATGACAATCTTTCTACTAATGTAAAAATATTAGAAACTTAGTAACTGACAATTAAAAATTACAGAATTACAACCCTTTATTGTATTATATGAAAAAAATACATATTAAAGAATGTTGCTGGGCTGGGAAGGTGACTCAGTGGTAGAGCACTTGCCTTGCATGCATGAGACCTTGGGTTCGATTCCTCAGCACCACATAAACAAAAAAAAAAAAAAAAAGCCGCAAGTGGCACTGTGGCTCAAGTGGTAGAGTGCTAGCCTTGAGCTAAAGAGCTGAGGGACAGCGCCCAGTCCCAGAGTTCAGGCCCCACGACCGGACCCAAAAAAAAAAAGAATGTTGCTATAAACCATAACATAGTTAAATGACTTTCTTAGCCAGGCACCAGTACCTTGTGCGATTTCAAGACAGCCCAGGCAGATAATTCAGTAGTAGTCTTACCTCTAATTAAGCAGCAAAATGCTACAACTGGTGGCATGGACCAAGTGGTAGAGCAGTGTGAGGTCCTGAGTACAAGTCCCATTACCAGCATTTACAATAAATAAATAAAAAGAATTTTACTTCCTTACAATATGGTTGACCTCAATCAATAAAAGTATTTACAAAGTGGAGGATTATAGGCTTAGAAGTCCAATCAATTTAGTTCTACTTCTATCTTTCCAACTTATACTAAGTTATGTAACTTGAAAAGTATTGCTTCTTTAGGTTTTACTTTCCTCACTTTTAAAATGAGGCTAAAACTACCTGCTTTGCAGGATTGTTGTTACAAGTAAATGTGACAAAAGTAAACTTTTAGCAGATTGCTGACATACTCAATAAACTGTTATCTACAATAGATATAATTATCATCATTATAACTGCATTATCATATTATGGAAGGAAACTATGTGATATGTGGTATCATTAAATGGTTCTGCTAATCACCTGTATGCATATATAATTTTGCACCTATCACTTTATAGGTATCCAAATATAATACATAATTTGTTTTTATCTGCTCAATTTAGAAGATATCTTTTATAATTTGAAAGGAAATATATCTTTAATACCTAAATATAGGAGTCCATTCAATAAAATATCAGGAGCAAAATAATTCAATGGAATGTAATGAAGAAATTATGAAATAATGGGGGGAGAGGTGTATAAAGAGTTGGGCTCATGCCTGTAATCCTGAAAGCTACTGAGGAGGCTGAGACTTGAGGACTGTGTGGTTTGAAGCCAGACACAGCAGGAAAGTCCATGAGACTTACCTCCAATACACTACTCAGAAAAAGCCAGATGTGGTACTGTGACTCAAGTGGTAGAGAGCTATCCTTAAGCACAAAGAGGGGACAGCACCCAAGTGCTGAGGGTCCAGCCCCAGAACTTGCAAAAAAAAAAAAAAAGTAAAAAAAGCAACTTGTTTTTCTGGGATATGAGAATTACATGGGGGAAAAGAGGCACTTTTTACAACTATGTGAACCACTGCTTACAGTCACAATAAATATATTAGCGAGGTGTTGGTGGCACACATCTGTAACCAAATTATTCAGGAGACTGAGATCTGAGAATCACAGTTCAAAGCCAGCCTAAGCAGGAAAATCTATGAGATTCTTATCTCCAATTAAACATCAAAAAAGCCACAAATAGAGCAGTGGCTGGAGCAAAAAGAGGTCAATGACAGTACCCAGGCCCTGAGTTAAAGCTCCAGAACTGGCAAAAAGAAAAAAGAATTTTAGTGGGCTAAGAAGTTTCAAGTTATACAGGGTTTTACATAACAGAATTTGAACCTAAATGTATTCCTAAATGTTGGTCTAAAAACACAGAGTCCAACAATCTAGCAACTCAGTAAATTCAGAACTGTGATATTCATCCATCTCATCTTTTAAAAAAACTTCTAGTTTATTTTCAGATGTTTCAAGATAATATTACTTTTAAAGGCAATTACCATAAGATAAAACATACAGCTATTATTCAAACCAAATCAAAAAACTTCTTTTAACAACCAGTTCCCAAAAGCTAGACTATAATTCTCATCATCAAGAAACATTATGCTTGTAACAATAACATAATTAAATAAGTTAAATATATGAAGAAAAAACCCAGGGCAGATTTAAGGTACTTTTAGAGGGATTTATATGATAAGTGGTGGTATTATTAATTATAATTTAAATTCAAAAAACAAATGCTATTATTACAGAACTATAAAATCAATAGAAAATGTGTGTGTCTGGTCCTAGGCTTGAACTCAGGGGCTGGGTGCTGTTTCTTAGTTTTTTCACTCAAGGCTAGTCACTTGACAAACAGATTCACTACCAGCTTCTCTATGTATGGTTAACCCTAGATGAGTCTCAGGGACTATCAAGCCCAGGCTGGTTTAGAACTTGGATCTTCATATCTCAGCCTCCAGCTTAGCTAATTCCAGGTGTGAACTACCAGCACTACCTTTTACTTTTTCTTTTTTGCCAGTTCTGGGGCTTGAACTCTGGGCCTGGGCACTGTCCCTGGGCTTCTTTTATTCAAGGCCAGCACTTTACCACTTGAGCCACAGCGCCACTTCTGGCTTTTTCTGTGATTAATTGGAGGTAAGAGTCCCATGGACTTTCCTGCCCTGGCTTGCTTCAAATCCCATCCTCAAATCTCATTCTCCTGAATAGCTAGCATTACAGGTATGAGCTACCAGCACCTGGCTTTTACTTTTTTAATTTTTGTCCTAATTCTAGGTAAGCCTTGCCCCCAACAGAACTAAAGGAGCTTATTCAACATGCAATTATTTCATCACTATGTTCTATGATTTTTAATCATCCCACAAAAATGTATATTCAATTTTCATACTCACTTAAAGCAGAGCCATCAACAAAATTTTCTAACTACTCAATTTAAAATGGCCTATCTCCAACATCAGCATATTTACATTAGTTTTCATCATCAATTTTAGTATTGTGCAAGGCCCTGAGCTCAATCTCCAGCACCAAGAAAAAAATTCATTTTAAAATTCACTGCAGTATAAGTCAAATCCATCACATTACTCAGTATAACTAAAGAAACAAAAACCCAATGAAAATAACCAACACTATAGTTTCTCAAACAGGCTAGGAAAAATTATGAAAAAAAATCACAATACTATTTTTAGTAAGTCATCAAACAAAACCACTCTATTAACATCTGTATAAATACAACAGGCAATGAATAAACAAAATAGCTACTGAGATGTCACTTTGTTATAAGCATCCAATACCAACAAATTTCTATGGTGTAGTTTTCAGAACTCTTTAAGTTTCCTAACCCGCAGGGCTGGCGGGTGGGGTATACAGCAACCTGGCAGCAGATAAAAATCACAACCAATTACAGTCTAGGTAGGAATCTGTCCCTGGGTAATGTTAAGGTGGGTAACGTATATGTTTAAAATTCACTATCTCAATAGGAAACGAAGAAAAAAATGTAGTTCATAAACAAAAGGAGGCTGGATTACAAGTTAACCTAAAATTCCTGACGGTTAACAATCAGTACATTGTAGGCCAGTCTCAAAGATGGGGAAGAGAAAAGAAAAGAAAAAGCTTTTCCCAGAGCACTCTGAAGTGGGCAAGGGGGAACCATCCCTTTTGCACCCACAAGAACCATCCTCCAGACCACTGGCATGCTACTACAGAACCAGTCACTCGACCCAGATGATGGGCAAAGGCGAGGGAGGGATGAAGGGTCTGCGGGAGGGGAGCCTGCGGTCCCGGAGGCCTGGAGGTAACTAAACCTAC